GCGAGACGCTGCAGCCGGCCGTGGCGAGCCACGTGGCGCGAAAAGACACTAATCAATCCATCCTCACCCTGAGCGAGGCGTTGCAGCAGGCCGTGCAGGCAGCGCTCGGCGCGGAGGGCGAGCGCCATGGCGGCCAGGGCCGCGGTCGTGGCGAGCCACATGGCGCGCGAGAAGGGGGCGAAGACGCCGCCCCATGGCCCGCGGCGGCGGCCGGGGCGTGGCGCCAGGAAGGCCACGCAGCCACGCTGCCACGGAGCGCTCAGCGCCACCACGCGCTGCTTCGTCTGCGCAGAAACCAATGACAACCACTACTGCCAGAGGGGGCTTTCGCAAAGCGAGCGGACGACGATATGAGCAGGAAGTCTGACAGGAGACTCAACTCCGGTTTTGGTGGAATGGTTCCTGGTGGGGTTTGGGCGGAGTTTCAATCATTTGAGGTGACCTTTAGAACCATGGAGAATGGATCTGGATCATGCACTTTTTAATAATTTTTTGTTAAATTTGAGTTAAGTCACACTGTACTTGTGGCTTTAATTAAAAACAGAATATCACTGCCTTATATCAATATATAAATTACATGTGAATACACAATATCAGCAACTTTTCGGAATAACATATGAGCTCAATCTGGGCGTTGTCACATAAGTTGGCACAACTATAGCCTAAACCAACAATCTTGGATATCGGGAAGACGCCGCGTCGTCGCCTAGATGTCGCAGGCTTCCTCAGGGCAGTAACCAGGTGAAACGTTGGCCTCTCAGCCAACGGCGCGGCGTCTCTCGGATAGCCAAGAATTTATGGAATCGAGCTGCGGAAGCTTACGTGTGTAGCCAACTTGTGTGTCGTGTTTATTGTTAACAATGGTAAATTGCTTATAATCAATAGTGGACAAATCTGTCTTTATTATTTAATTTATGGAATGAAGACTGTTATAAAACCGAAATGAATTGCTTATCTTTATTAATTTAGAATAGGGTTGCTTACATAAGTTACCGAAGTGGAAAAAGTCGTTCTTCTGGAAGATGCTGTTTTTAGTATTTTATTGCATCAACAACCGCAAAATATTAGAAAAAATATCAAGTATTTAATATTTCTTGCAATTGCAAAACTTTCAACCTAAAAATTGGCCCTCTTTCACCTGTGCCTTGCTGATCCGAACGTTACGCTATATTACTGTATTACAAATATTATCATCATTATAATGGTGAAATAAAGTTCCAATGACATATCAGCATTCTCACAATAAGTTATGTGATACCGTTATGATTTTACACGAAAGAAAGTATGACCTATTGTAGTACGACTACTTAGTTTTTCATGTAAAAGGTAAACTGCTAGAGGAGCAGAAGTTTCAATATTATAAAATGATGCAACTGATACTGATAATAGAAAGTAATTGTTGCTGGTTCATTTTAATTTTTTGTTTTCTTGAATTAAATTAAAATATAATTCAAAAATAAATGATGTTCCCAGCTTATCTGGGCTTATTCTTTATATTGCATACTATTTGAATATCTCAATACTTTTATTAATCACACTCATTACTTTATTTTTACTTTCACTACTCTCCCCTCTATTTTGATGCTGAAATATAAAGAAAATCCTTTTAATTCACATTGTATTTTGTATTTATTTAAAGTATTTTGAAAATATTTCTTAGTGTTTCAGTTTAACACTACTCAAACACAAAATTTAAACATACATGTAAAAGTAATTTACAATGAGAGTTTTAATTCCATTCAAAAATACTACAAATTAAATAGTTTTAATTTTTTATTGAATTGTACAATATAATTGAAACGTTTCAACCAGCAACATTCTATATTATAAATATTATCCAACGATGTGTCACACATCACTCTCTTATGCCAATGTCATGTTTACATTGAAATTATAAACAAATTTTTTAAACGTTTTTTAATTTTATTTTCTGAAAAAATTAACATCAATTATTTGTTTGAGAACTATGATAGGCCTTTGAGCATTGGGGTCCCTGGTCTCAGGCCCCGTGCATTAACATGACCCTGCTTGTGGCAAAATTATTGCAGTTAAGAGAATGTATCTAACATTTACAATAATTCTTTTAACATTTTAACACTCAATCTATATTAGAGATGCGTATTAATAACATATGTTCATAAGTATTGATCAGGTTGCAGTAAATAAATATAACTTTATTAAGTTTGCCAAGAATTCTTTTACTTATATTCTACCAGAGCTAGTTTTATTGAGGTGAAATAGATGGGTGCTTTGTTGAACATTTTGTTTGAGTAATGTAATGTTCACTTGAGTTTTTTATTTAGCATTTTTAAAAATTTTGTTCTAATAAAATAATAAAATTGATTAGGTATATTTTGGCTTAAGTTTGTTATTTATATTATGGGCTTTAAGCTATTTTTGTTCTTATTAACACGTCTTATTATTTTATATTGTTTAATAATCTATGTGTAAATAAATAATACATAGTTTAAAACATGTTTTTATTATTGAATATATCTCTAACTCATTATAATAAATGAGGTATTTCCCAAAGTAGGAAAAGGGTAATGTTATATGCAGGCACATCACAAAGTTGCAATTCATTTAAATTTCTCAACTTGCAATAATTAATTTGATTATGTGAATCTTGGATTGGTACATAGGTAATATGTAAACAGTAGAGCCCAGAAGTTCTGGCATTTACTTTACCTAAAATAGGCAGGCAAAAAGGCATATTTTTACCATATTAGGCATCCAAGCCATTTATTCTAGCTGAAGTAGGGATGCATAAAGCCATGAAAACAATGAAAAATCACAATTTAAAAGAAAAAAGAAGAGCCGGCAAACTGACAGTAATGCTTCATGGTATGGCCAAGTTGTAAAATATGTAATATAGTAGTAAAATATGTAATTCAATTTAAAAAAAGATGAATAAATGTATTTAAAACTAAAAATATTTCAACAATCACCAATAAAGATGATTTTACAAAAGATGCATTTGCCAACCAAATAATTTATAGTTGTTGGTTCAGCTGTTCAACTGAGTGAGCAATTATTTTGTTTTTGTAGAATATTATTAATCCATAATTGATACTTCGGAATTTCAATCTGCAGAAAAAAAGTTCAATTCTGTGAATCAACAAAAAATATCTTACATTGTGATCATTGTGATCATTGATGTAGATGTTAGTTCCTGTGTCCAACATGATAAGACCATAGATTGCTGTAGTATGCCACTAACCATTGCCGCCCTTCTGACTTCTCCTCTTTCCGTGACAGTCTTGGTTCCACAAAGGTCACCTTCCCTAAAGGCAACAGTTGTAATGGCTGCTTCAGGAAATATGGTCTGCTTAGTTTAAAATTATGTCAGAAAGTATAATATTATTCTGAAATTTCCATCAAAACATTAATGGTATATTATTGTATTCTTCTTTTTATGATCTATACATTGCAAGAGAGAAAAATATGTAATTCCATTTAAAAACTAAAGGATAAGTAAATATCTCAAAAAGTAAAAATATTTCAAACAATATCTCTACATCGTATTACTTGCACCATGATTCTGAATTCTTAAGCAAAAACTGTATTTCAATATTGTAATCCATTCAGAATTTATGGGGATGGCCCACAGTTGGTGGGACACACTTTATAATCTTTTGAAATAAAATGAAATAGAATAATATTTTGTTACATTTCAAAATACTAAATTTTGTATGGTATATATATGTTAACTTTGAAAACATGCTATTTCTTTTATAATGGTGATGTCAATGTTGAGTATTAATTTTCTGTTCAAACGAATTAGACGCTTTATATTTAAAAAGTTTGACTATAATTAAAGTCAAGTTTAATCAAATAGGATTGATTTTTTTCTCAAAGAATTCTGAAAATTACATAATATTACATAATATCCACCAATTTCACTCATTACAAATCCACAAAACTCATTAGATGAGTAAGAACCAAAAAAAAAACAAAAAACAACAACACAATTTAAGAAATTCCAACATCAATAAACAAAACTTGCAAACAAGTAAATAAGACATCTCAGCAGATTTTATGCCAACATTAGGCTAATAAACAATATAACAAATTGTGATGCGAGGTTTTGTCATACCAAAGAGCATCATATTTTACATGAGTGCAAATTACTCTGTGTACATAACAGTGTATTTTTCATATTTCACTATTATATTTTCATTGTTTGAATTTAATTTGCTACATTTAATTGCAAAAGTAATTAATACTTTGTTTTATAATTAAAATATATCATATTAGAAGTGTATGTACACCACAGCTGTGGTAGTGGAATTGTAAATTTCAAAACATTGGCAAATCTGTAAATGTGGTTTTAATCTTTGGAACATGATCAATACCTATGAAGCACACTAAAAGTAATGATTATGTAGCTTCTTAGTACTATTAGTATAAATATGTGGAATATTGATGTTTATAAAATTATTTAATACTGATCATTAATTAAAAGTAATAAATAAAAATTTATTTTCTTTGTTATTGCATGCTTGTAGGGCAGGGTTTGTTGAAAGTATTTTTAACTGCACTTTATACCCATTAAAATAAAGAAAATAACTCTTAAGACTCTCAAAAAAGTATGTAAAAAGAATTGTCCAGTTACTGCTAAAGATGATTTTACAAAAGATGCATTTCCCAAACAAATAATTTACTGTTGTTTGGATACTCAACTGCTCTACTGAAGTGTCCAATTATTTTGTTTTTGTAGAATATAACCCATAAAGGGATGTATTTTTAATATCCTACAACAGTTACCTACAACATATAATTCATATTATTTGTTGTCATGAAGTAATTCTCATGACTTTTTTGTAGTCACTAGACCTTATATATTCATTTGAATCAGACGTGGAACAGAGTGACATGATACCTTAAGATTTGTAAATAAACGCCAAAGAAATTCCAAACCATTCTTGCAATTTTCAAGTTTTGTGCTTATATGTATATGCAGCTTAAATATCTTTCTAATGTTAATTGTAAAAGGTAAATGGGTCTTTATAAAAATTATTTATTTTCTTGTAATCAAATTTTGCCTTATATTATTTGAATTTTTATGGCATAAGTCTTGATACCCAATCTCTCTCCCCATGCATTTCAGGTTACTTATTGCCACTATACACTAATTTTAATGCTGAAAAATTCTGTTGTATTCCTGGAAGAACTTCACAATCTCTAACAGCATTCTAAAAGTGTATGTTTCAGAGTTGTAATAAACATTTTAATTTTGTAATACTTAGATACCTATAAAGGATTATTTAGCATGCATTTGTAACAGAAAGTGGAGGAGCATTGAAGTTATTTTCCAAATCAATGAGTGAATTTATTGTGCAATTTCTTCACAGTTTGTGATATTTATTTCAATGTAATCACAAAAACAGATGTAATAATTATATAATTTATATTGATGGTGTAGGTACGTTTCTTCTGAATTAATATAGTATTTTTCAAAACTTATAAACAGGGACACCCAGAGGCCAAACAAGGGGCCTGGGGCAGTAGTCTGTGGGGGACCTGTTATTTCAAACGAAAGTTTCTTGCCACATGAGTACATACACAGAATTCAGTCTTCCATGGAAAAGAAATAACTTATTGTGGTTAATTTGACATAGAAGTACATTTTGAATGAGAATTCCTGCTTACAAAATCATATTTCTTATAACTGTACCCTTGTAATGCTATCTTATATCGCTACATTTAAATGTACAAGGAATATTTAGAGAAAGACTTCTCTCATGAGTACATATAGCTCAAAAACTTACTGCTGATTGAATATTTTCTAAAAATTATTTTTACTGTTATACAAGTAATTGTAGATACTTCTATTAGTATATCCATAATATTAATAGATGTAATAAACATCTACATGAGAAGAATCTATTCTCATAAATATTGATATGACCTACTAATTATTTGGGACAATTAATACGTGGCACCTTTATGTAAATTTAATAATTGTGCTAATTTTGTTTTCGTTCAATATTCAATTGAGTGAATTCTTGGGTTTGGGTCTAAAAAAATGAAATATCTTTGCTACTAACGTTTCAGCTCTATATTGGGCTATCATAGCTGTAACAAGATTTGTTTTCTAAACCCCCAAACATTCTTCATAACACTTTCAACCACATGTTTACTAACAAGCTTTGTTAAATTATACCATTATCAACATATAAAATCCGGTTGATATTTCTTAGAGTTACCAGATGTAACTATATTTTTAAGAGTTCTAGTACTCTTTTATACTCTCGCTTTTTTAATAATAATAAAATAATAATAATAATAATAATAATAATAATAATAATAATAATAATATTATAATATAATATTTATTGAGTCACATATACAATTACAATCGTTCAGGAGCAAACAAGGGGCATCTCAGCATTTGCTCAAAGGACCAGGGAAACTGAACAAAACCTGATGAGATGGGACTACTTATAATAATTATATTAATAATAATTACATTAATAATTATTATTATATTAATAATAATAATTACATTAATAATACATATCAATTATGTTGCAACATACAATAAATTTAAACAATAGTAGTACATTCTATTTTATAACTTGGAATGGTGAGGAGGCAAGTTTTGACCAGTTTTTTTTTCTTCTTCTATTCTCCTTCTATTCACAGGATGTGATATGATGTTCTTTAATGTATTCTTTTGCACTATTTTTTCATAACTCGTATAAAGCATTTAAACTTTTATATACCTGTAATAAGCGTTTTTTAATACTTAAATAAAAAAATGATTACATTAATTTTCCAAAGAAATATTTTGCTATTTCAAAAGGGTTTCTTCTGCTTCAAACTGAATGAATTTTAAAGAATATTTAACCATGATTGTACATGTGACATCAATACAATAAAACATTGTTTGAAAAGGATTTATCATTGAAATTTTATTTTGAATTCCCAAAAAAGTTTGACATGAAATACAAAACAATTTTTAAAAACTGTTGTTGAAAATTGATATGAAGATTTCTTCAGAACACAGAAATCACAGAGTAAAGAACTATTATCAAAACTATGAAAATTATGAAATGTCAAATCACAGTTTGTCTCCTGATAAACAACAAAATGTACTGTTTTAAAAAGAAAATCTTAATCACTCATAATGATCTTGTTTTCTATCTCGACGATTTGGTAATATTAATATTACCACCATCTCAAATGTATAATTAACACAGAAGTCTGTTCACAGATAACTTTTGTATGTGTATTTTCTCTTTACATTACACACTATTTATTTAATTTCAAATAAAGTTTTTGTTGAGTTGTAACAACAGACAACTACATTATCACATTACGAACATTCTTCGAGGCGGGAATGCGCGATGAGGGGGAAAATATATATTTGAAGCAAGAGTGGTGATCAGATTCAATTTCGTCAAGTTGGCTGTTCTGAGCAGAAATAATTTCAGCCACCATATTGCTGATCCAGTGTGCTGAAATTGAAGCTTTATAGTTGCTGTTTCGCGTGGTCCGCTGATTGCTGTCAACGAAAAGGTATGTCGAAGATAAGTACCTAAATCTTATTACTCATTTACGAAAGATTAAACAAGTGTGGTTCTATCTTTTAGGAGAAAATGTCTGAAGAGGTGAATCCAAAAGCTTATCCATTAGCTGATTCAACACTGACGACCAAGATACTGAATATTGTTCAGCAAGCTATGAATTATAAGCAACTTAGGAAAGGCGCTAATGAAGCCACAAAAACCTTGAACAGAGGGATATCAGAGTTCATTGTCATGGCAGCTGATTCAGAACCACTTGAAATTCTTCTTCACTTGCCATTACTCTGCGAAGACAAAAATGTCCCTTACGTGTTCGTGAGATCAAAGCAAGCTCTTGGACGTGCTTGTGGTGTATCAAGACCTGTTGTTGCTTGTTCAATTGTAGTGAATGAAGGTTCTCAGTTAAAACCACACATAACAACAGTTCAACAGGAAATTGAACGATTATTAGTGTGATATGTTTTTGGAATATATATTGAGTTATGCATAAAAATAATAAAGCTGTTCACCAGCACGTGTAAAGCATTATTCTGAAATTTGGTTGGGTAATACATGTTTAGTTCATACATCATTACCATGTGGATAATTTGCTAGGGCAAAAGGTACATCCATTTCTGAACGCCACTCTGAATTCAATAATTGAATGTACACTATTGTTTTCGAATGTCAATTAGAATATTTCCATTACTATGAGTAGGATTATAGTAAGTACTAAATATTAACAGTCATTGCAAATTCAATGAATGTATATAAATATACAAATAAAGCCATGAGTTTCTACGAATATGAAATATTATATGAACCGTATGAATACTATTCACACGGTTTCTTGAGCCCTCCCTGTGCCCACTTCCCCCTCTGCTACGTGAAACAATCGAAATCGAATAGCGGGTATCACACAGAGGAGAGATACAACTACTCTACTCGATGGTATCACAACAACCACTGTTGACATAATGCTTCAGGCCACTAGTTACTTCAGGTGCTGGCCACCTCAGGCAATGGATAGATTGAGCTTCTGTTGTCAACATTTTAAGTAGGTACACAAGTACTTGATTAATGGAGGAAATGACAGAAGTACATTTCCTCAAAGAAACTATCTCCAACTCCTTCGAAACAGGTGCATAGGGCACATAAGAGGAAAATAATACTACAGCTAGAATTGCGGAGGTATGAATTCGAAAAGGAGAGACACAGGCATCTGATTTTGCAGTGGTTGGCATTACTTGAAAACCTGGTGATGGTGGACTTAACTATTTATCTCACTCTTCCCTTATTCACTTGTCCAAAGAGAATTACTCCTCGTGTCCACCAAAAGAACTTGGGATGCTATTACGCAAGTAATATAATTCCCCAACCGCCGGGAGAAATATAAACAAACTGCACGTTCATTCAGCATCGGAACACTCTGCCTAGCAAACGAAGTGCACGGAACCGCGCGAAATTTGATGTTGTGCGTACGATCATGTGCTCCGCTATAACTGTAAACTGAAGATTAATATTTTTACGTATTTCTGAAATTAGATATTATATTGCAAATATTACCTAATTTAAATGGCAAAGTGAAATCGAAACATATAAAGCACGTTTGAATTCATATTCATTTCAATCTTGTTTTCGATGGTAGAGAATGAAATAATTTCAATGCTGGTATTTCAATAATACGGAAATATTAATGTTCATATGTGAACTGCACAAATAACGATAATAAAATCAAGAAGATTTTACTGTTCATTCCAGATTTTTAGTTTATTTGGAAAGTCATTGATCGTTTTCTTACAGAAAATATTCATTGTGCTACAATATTATAGAAATATAACTATTAAATCATCATCATTTATCAATGTTACATCAGAGATATAAGTGCAGTGTATTTGCTACACAGTGAAATAATCAAATATCTTACGTAGAAATTCAAGATTTATGATTCCTCAAGATTCTTGAATTTATGCACTCAAGCAATGCTCAAGTTATTTTGAGAATCAGTCAGTTGAACTCCAAACCCAAAACAAGATATACTACGATAATAATTTAACACTAAAGCGGACCCTAATCAAATGTTACAAAATATCGTTTTAAGATGAGCGCAATAACAAAATAGAGATAATGTTAGAGTTACAAAGTAAAGACAATAAAGACAATGTTTATAGTTATGATCCATTATCTGAGCAAAATAAGGACAAAATAAAGTTTTGATACTACTAAAATTACACCCACCAATATTGTTGAAACTTCTCCTGTACAAAAATGTTCTTTGTTTATTTATAATATTTAAACTATCGTCAAAATAGATTTTACTACCTAAGTTAAATGTGATAATATTTAATTTTCTTTTAATCTATCGAGACTTTTTTATTTCTTGTCTTTTCGCACAACTAATTCACAGTGCTTTCCTCTTTGGTATGAAGAGAAAAATCACGAAAATTAGCCAATATCTTCAAATTTTACTGTTTTCCAAACATTGTAAAGTAACTACTTACACGAGAAAAGTAATTCACGCATTCCCCGAACGATTTGTACAGCAGTAAACCATCCACGTAACCATAAAGAACTGTTACGAAAGATTGCTAATCTGATCAAGGTATTTAAATATATAAAAAAATGACATCGCATCTCAACACGAGGACCCTACAAGCGTTTTGGGCACAGCAAAATGGCTAGTTCATGGCTTCACGTTTATGACACCATGACATCTCCATGTATGGCGTTTCTACTCCTTGTCGTACTATAGCTCCATGTTGCGTTCTCACCCGCAACCTTCGTGAAGACTTTCGTGAAATGCTTATTCATGAAATATAAGGCCATGCTAGTACTCTCACGCACACACGCACACACACACACACGCGCACACACACACACACACGCACACACACACACACGCACAGACGCACACACACACGCACACGCGCACGCGCGCGCGCACCCACGCACCCACGCACGCACGCACGCACCCACACACTCGGCAGAAAGTTTGCTGGGACCAACGGTCAGACATCCGTCGTTCACATTTCGATCCTCCACTCTGGGAAAAGAAATTGATAGCCTGGAGTGGGTCGAGAGCTTTATCCTTTGACAGAGCGAAACCCAAGAATTGGGCCGAATCGGAGACGCCCGTGGGTCGAAACGCTGACCTATGGCTATGCAACAGCGCAGCTCTCGCAGCTCTTATAAAGTGGTAACCGATTCCGAGAATGCATCGGCAGTGCCAGGAACGTTACACGAAGTCTTATCAACCGGTGTCAGATCTCCGGCACGTTTGTCCTTTCCCAACTGATGGCAAGGGCCATTTTTTTTTGATATCTCCTCTCCAGGTCCCCTGGAGGGGCGGGAATTTATTAGCCTTAGGAATACATAATACCTGCAGACGATGAGGCTTTTGCAGATTGCAAGAGCGGTAACTTAAATAAACTAACTTATGCTAACTTAAAACTAATTACATTTCCTCTTTGGGAATTGTTTGTTTTATTTAATTATAATGATTTTCGGGTTAGTTCTCTATATTGTTCTTATTTCTTTTTTAGTTCATTTTCACATGCATTCATTCTTGGCTATTTACAATCCCATTCATTAATTCACTCATTCATCCCCACAGCACTATTTACACTATTTACACTTTATGATGGCAAAGGCCATATCTGTTGGTCTCTTTTTATAGTAGGATTTATTTAATTATACATCTGAAGTAAATCAGCTTTTCACGGTTTTAATCCAACGGGAGCTCGAGTGTTCCTATAGTGACGTCACTGTTGCGACATATAAGCACCCGATTGGATGAAACGGAAACAGCTGATATGCGTCATACGCACGACTAAAGAAATCGTACTATTGTTTGAAGTGCACACTGACAAGCTTTTTTGACAATTCTACCGAAGTTAGATGTAAGGTTATCGTAAACTACACTACTTTTAAGAAAACTGAAAAAGAAACTTACATACGGTGCGCTTGATGGCATTTTAAGTTAATCTCTCTGTTTCGACACTTTTATTAGACCATTATTGTGAATATTTTCTTTCTAAAATATAAAAGCGAAATTTATGCATATATTAATTTTTTATTTATTTATTCTATAACGAGATAACATTTTCAGGAATCCATTTTGAAATAATTGTATTTGGATTATTCACGCATATGTTCTGCCTTCTCGCCTTTCTGAACCTGCCGTGCAAAACATCGGCTTTTGCCACCCTGCATGCCCTCCGAGAAAATGAACACCCTTCCGACAGATAGGCTGATAACGGCGTAACGGCCTCAGGACCGTCGACGCGCGGCGATTTTATCTCTTATCTAGGCGGGAGGACGTGTTAAGTCCCAATGCTAATTGCAAAAACTATTTGCAATACTTCGTAGTACTTAACTTACATTTATGAGTTTTGAAAAGTGCTGAACAAACTGATAAAATTTCGCATCAATCCGATTATTGCGTGTTAGTGTTAGACACATACGGCTGGAAGAGAAAAAAACATTGTGATTAGGAAAAACAAAATAAACAGATTACCTATTAGAAAAATCATAGTTAGTGGATAGAATTATTATTTTCCGGCCCGTCAACTGCTATGATAATTAGTTCCGTAAGTATAGTGTGTGTCGTCTTTCAGGACGTGCGCTGAGTTAACTCTGACCCAGCAATGCCGATGGCGCAATGCCGTTTAAATTGAGTCGTTGATAGTGAAGGAATAACGGAAACTAGGAGGTTGTTGAAGGTGCATTTAGAAAGGTTTGATCCTAATGTTAAAAAAGGGAGATGTTATTGTCGAAAAATATTTAGTATGTTGTCATAAATATTTGTAAACTGATTGGATTCTATAATTGTATTCATGGTATTCTTCTGAGTTTTTATATTTAATGTTTCTAGTATTAACCTTTGATTTATGTTGGGTTCTACCGCTAAAAATACGAAACTGGTCAAAATCGATTGAATGATTTAGGTTAATTCTGCGTTGTGATATTGAAGTTTGTCTATTTGTAACACCACTGATATTTTTGTATGTTCTGTTATTCTCTGTTCAATTCTTCTCTTTGTTTGGCCAGAATAATCTAACTGCCAATCGTCGCATTGAAGTGCATAAACTGTATCTATCATATCATGTTTAGGTATTTTATCTTTAACATTTCTTATAAGATTCTGCTTCTTAATTATTGAACTTTTAATTTTGATATTGTACTGATAATGTACCTGATAATGATAAAAAGAATTTTTACGATTATTTGTCAGACTAGTTATGAAAGAAAACATTCCATGAATGTAACTATATTATGTAACCTGAAACTTGCTAATAAAATACAAAAAAATAAGGATAAGAACAAATTATAGTACCAATGTAATTGCCAATTTTCATTTTGAAATGCCTATTTTACGTTTTTAAATGCCAATTTTGCCTGCCTATTTATAAAATTTTTCTTGCCTATAAATCTGCTGCTTTAAAAACTTTAAAAAAATTTTAAAAAATTTCTTAATTAACATTCAACTTCTTGTTCTCAATGTTGTAACGTATTTGATGTTGGGTTAGGGCGCCTTCCCACATCGCGACGGCGGCGCGCATCCGTCAAGGTAGCAGAGCCCTTCCGACGCCGCCACCGCCGCAGCCACGGCCGCACCGCCTCCCGCCGTGGAAGGGGGTGGGGTCTGCAGGGGTAGGTTTCGCCGACGCTCCGGCGACGACGAACAAAGGGATCACAGCAGGTAAAACGCCGCGACCGGCGGCGCAGTGGGAAGACCACCAGTTAAAGCTACGCGCCGACCATGGCCGGCCGCAGTGGGACAAGACACTCAGAAGCTGCGTCT